TAGTAGCACAGCGAAAGGGTACCATATAAAGTATATGTTGTATAAAATACCATGTGTAACATATATGCGAAAAAAATTTTACTTTACACTAATCCTACAGTGGTATAAAACCGATGAAAGTCATTGTACCGGCATTTACCGAAACACTTCACCTCCTCTTGCTTTTATTCGTCTAAGGGGAGGCATTTAAGCAGGTCACCATTCCATGATATTTGAGCGCCTGTGGCATACATAATGCATGCCCCGCGTCTTTGAGTCGGAATTTGTAGGATCGTAGCTGCGGAGAAAGCAGAATGGATGTTCTCACTTATTGCTTATTGAACAAAAATATAAAAGTTGTTTTCATACTTTCCACGGCATCATGACTCTGTGAAAGCCGGTATCCATCTAGTATTTAATACAAAACGTATATCAGCGGCATTCCAAAGCTGTTGTTCTTGGTAACTACATCAGAACATCTTGGATGTAATTTATATTCTTTACGTTTGCATACGGAAAGTGGCACATTTTGTTGGTACTTTAATAAGTTCTAGTCCAGCTCAACCAAGTGACACGGTTATACGCCATATGTAATACAGGCGCCGTGGCCGTGGCCTGTATAGATAGTCCCCCTATTGATTTATGCTGGTTTAATGACTTCCATATGTCTTATGCCATTGTGGTATCAGAGTTAAGTAAATTGTTTCTTACTTCACACGGCACGTTTTTGCTGTGTGAATCCGGTATGACTATTTGAAATATAAATAAATTAATATTGGTAAACATTAATCGAAAATCAGTACACAGATCCGTTTCAGAACTTTCTTTTTAAAAGCTCCTACTACTTTGAGCTTGTACTTTCGTTAAGCACTCAGATATGCAACGATTCTTCGACAAATAGGCTGGTGTTTGACCATTTCGTGTAATCCAAGGTGGTGTTTATCTGACTTGTTGAGTGTTTCATGTAGAAAGCAGGCAAAACGATGACAGAATGCCCTGTTTCTTAAAGATATCTGTGTTCCGCACCTCTTGTTTCGTCTTTTTATGGCTTTCCGATGCAGAAGTTGTCACAAACAATGTATTGGATCTTACACATCGGGCTCATCTCTTGCTGATAAAGATTTGTGATCTCAAAGCACTGCCATAATATAATATTAACAGTTTTTAATTTTTTACTCTAGGTAGTTTAGTACATGTAAAAATAATGCTAACTGTGTTTCTGCGTGAAACCAATTCGCCAACCGATTCTTTTAGGCTCTGATCCTAGGCCACCGTTAACGTACCTGATCGATCTGACTCTAGGCTACAGCGCTGGAATGCCTCTCAGCTTGTTCAACATCATTTCTTGCTCCCAGCGCCACTCTCGAATCGAGCTTCACTGCCGCGTTCATCCAATCAGTGAAATCCAGTTTGAGCAGGATGCTGACCTATTACATTACATGTACGATCGATGGGTGCAGAAAGAGGAGCTGCTGACGCAGTTCTACGAGAAAGGCAGCTTCGCTGAGGTGTCGCACGAAGCTGGCACGGAACTCAAGATTAACGTGTTCGACGTCGTCCTGTCTCAGCTGGTGATATTCACTGTCCCGATGATTTATTTCCTGATTCTTAAGCATCTCTACATCACTGTGCAAAAGGTTTTGCTTTTTTGATTTATTTGTTTCTCTGAAACTTTCTTTCCCGAGCTTCAAAATTCTGTGGTTTCTCGACTGTTGTGGTTTGGTGTTTTTTTCTTATTAGAAGCTCATTGTTTCGTTTGAAAAGTGATATTAATAAGAATGCTTGCATTTTTGCCTTTGTGGTGTTTTTTTCCTCGTGATACCTGTGCAGTTTTCTGTCTTTGTTGGCTGCTAATATGTCATATGTGTATTGTGTACGATAAGACCGCATTGTCGATCAGTGGTGCATTATTGATGTGCTGCCACATACATACACGCGTGTAATATCCCAAGTTGATTTTTATAAAATCGTGGTACCGTTAATGCGTGCTAATAAACTGAACCCAGTGAAGTAACGTTATTAACTTTGTAGATGGCATTTTAGTCTCTATTTAGTTCTAAAGGTGCAATTTTATTTTTTTACGCCTGTTCCTGACCTATGTTACAACTTTGTTAAAAAGAAAGTCATCGCCAAATAAATGGTGAATGTACCAAGGTCGACTCTGCAGGTCGCTTGTCTTCGACATAATGAGGGATTTAAAATCAACGCCGATTGCGTCCTCTAAATCTGTACAGCGGTAATTTTAAAATTAAACCAATATGATGCGTGCTAATGCTGATAAGCTTGAGAGTACTTTAACGAATACCCGGCGGTGTAGGTGCTTACATACAATGGCGCTGTAGGTTGCGTTAATGACTCCGAAGACAACTTCCAGTATGCGGGCGATAAATGATGCAGTGGGTAGGTACGTGTTTACAGACAATGCACTATGAAGAAATAAGCGACCGTTTAACTCCAGATCAGCGTTCTTGACAGATTGGAAGAAGCTTTAAAGCAATCATGGAAGGTCATGACTATTAAATAATCACAAGAACGAATTGACAATGGAATCGAGATTTGATAGCTCGATTAACTTGCGATCATATCATACTCAAGGCAGAAAACAGTAAAAGCGCTATGAAGTACATCTGAGAGACCAGATGAATCGGACATGCACGATTCAATGTCAGCAAATGTGACTTAAAATATTGTCATAAATTCCACAGAGAAGGTTATTTTTTATAACCCTTTGACCATCAAAACGAGAACATTGTAAATACTTTGCAACAACAAGGACAATAATTGTTGTTTCGGTATTATCTTCTGTATCCCATTGCTGATCAATAATATTCTTTACTTTCTTTAACTAAGCAGAGATGATGTTTGCAAAGACAAAGGTCTTATCTCAGATGAATAGTGCAGATGAGGATATCACTCTGACGTGCAATACGCAAATAATACTGTTTTCGTGCGGGCTACGGGAAGCGAGATTTATAACCCAATGACTTCCGTGTCGGCACAGTTGCGAAAGCTTCAGTTTTCAGTAGTACGTTAAACTAAATTTCATGAGAATCACATGCCGACATGCAGAATTACATTCCAATGAAACGGGAAATTGAAGTGCTAAACGACGTTGACCAATTCTGATATTTCGCCGCTTCACCTGCAGCAATGACACTATCCAGCCAGAGTTAAATAGGAGGGTCGCCATTCTCTAGAGTGTTTTAGGAAATCCGTCTAATATAAGGACTAGGAAAGGAATATCTTCAGCACAACAATTAACCACTTCTTATCTATGTAAAGTAAAACATCGTATCGTGGCATGGAAACAGTTTTTCTGGCAAAAGAGCAGGGACTACGGTTTAACTGAGTAGAACAGCAACTGACTTTGACGTAGAGTGGTAACTAGCAGAGCGACTATGCCTTACCGAACAGAGTGGATTTCATTACGTGTGAAAATAAAGTAAAAGAGACTTGCAAAGTTGAAAACACCAGTTTAGCATCAATTAAATACCTCAGCTCATTAGCTTCTTTTTTGGGACTAAGCACAGCAGATGTCGGCCAGGAGGTCAACGTGGAACATGAACGATCACGAAAAAGGCAGATTTGTATTCGAAGAGGAATATTTTCTCTGCAATGCTGTAATCAGCTGCCTCGTAGCAGAAGTCTTGAAAAGTTGTGAATACAGCGTATATCGTGAGCCCGAAATGTTCTGCTCAAAAAATTTTTTTTCAAATAATTTCAAATAATTTTCTATTTCGGCAATAGTAAAAAGCAAATTTATTGGGAAATATTCTTCAAGGGACACATTGTCAATTTTCAATTACTGTTAATCCTTTTTATCGAATTTCAAAGTGATACAAACTACCGTATTTTATTATTAAAACCTACGGATCTGAGTGGCCGTGTATACCGTCTGTCGTTAACGTGCTTGAGCATTTTTCCGTCTACTCAATCAGGTAATCACGTGTTACTTAGTGTTTAACGTTTATTTTGTATGATGAAAACCAAACAGCTTATATCTAAAGCCGATATTTTCATCCTTTTTGTTTCCATCTCTGACACATTTTTCATGAAACGGTGTTTAGCATAAAAATTTTCAGATAATTGCTCAGCTCAGACCCTTCCGTAAGCACATTTCTTACTCGAAAGTCTAGGCGAAGTTTTCCTGCAGCTTTAGCTGTTTCTGCCATTGAAGATGTGCTATGAAAGTTTTGTTTTGTTATCATCATCAAGAGCTGCCATAGCTTAAACAGCAAGAAACCTGGATTTATGATACCGGACGACCTTTAGAAATTGTATCTCAGATTGACTTTATTCAGCGTTCATTTTTGCCGGAAAGACCATATCTTTCTTTACTAGCCCATAAAACGGAATTTGCAAATCATTAATCAACCGAATTTTTTCCCTTCGTTTATTTCGTTCAGAGCAGTCTGATATATTACCGAGTAATAAGCAACAGTCAGAGAATAAATGATGTGAAAGGTGAGGAATCGATTCAAAGGTTCATCGTAGAAGGATGGAAGTTCCATTTTCTTTATCTTCGTGATTTTGCAGACAAGGCATGCCGTAAGTATCATTTTTCTATGTATTTCAGGAATTATTGAGTCATGTTTAGCTTGGTTTAAGGAGGCTGGCAAAATCTGCCCGAATGACGCGAAAAGTTGCACGCTCCCTCATTGATTGGCAAATGTTTGCTGCCGACGTTTTTCAAAAGGACTTAA